TCGTTGCACGCAACAGAAGCACGCAACGCACGCGAGGCGCGGCGCGCGCACACACACATACACGCGCGCGCGCATACACACGCGCAAACACCAGCAAGAGTACGTACGACACGCACGCCGACACCACACACACGACACATCACCAACACACAACACACACACACACACACACACAAACACGCACACACAACGCGGCGGCACACACACACACACACAAACAGTAGCGTGATATACACACTGTACATATAGTCGTGTACAACACACACACACACACCACACACACACACGACACACACACAACACACACCACACACACACACACAACACACACACACACACACACACACGACACACCCAAGATCTTCATAACGTATAGGAGATATCATGCACGTGATATTGGTTTGCTCTGGGTGCCAGCACAGAATTTCAGAGTGCATGAGAGCAAAAACTATGAGCACGCCGCGCGGGGGTATTTTTGTCATCCTAATATTCATTACGAAGGCGCTAATACTGTTAGAGGCACGAACATTAATTGAGTTCCCATACGCCGTATATCTCATCGATTTGACATCGGCACTATATTCAAACATGAGCGCTAGACGGATTATACCCCCTGTCACACCGGACGGGCGACCATCCGCGGACCGTACGGCGACCAGAAATGTACGAGGTACGCGGCAAGCACGAGCGAACAAAACGCCTCGGAGGAAAAAAAAGGGTCCCAACAAATGTAGCAACTTGAAAAAAAAAAAACCGCGCTCTTACACGCCGACCTGTGCGATCATACCTGCCGTTCTCACGGCGCCGGCGCACGGGACCTCTCCGCGCCTTTATGGCCGGGCGTTTCTATTGGATCTATTGAGCTTGGGGCAACGGCTGATCACCGGCCGCGACGTTTTCCCGCGGCGTCTCACACGCTCATGGGGTTCTTACCACGCGTCTTCTTACGTGTATACGCAGATGCACGGCGACCTCACGGCAGTTTCTTACCACGTTCTCACGGGCTATGATAAGCTGAGTCAGATTTTCGGAAGATTTTAACATGTATAGTTTGTGCGGTTTGCTGAAGTGAGTAAAACACGAGTGCCAGAAGAAACCCTGGTAGCTTAGGCCTAGGCCGTGGCCGTGGCCGAGACAGATCGGCATGAAACAGATCGGCAGATCGGATGAGACAGATCCATGAATTCGCCGTTGAAAATGTTACCATTTTCGCAGCGTCTTTGCCACGCGTGTACTGCGCGTGTACTACGTTTATGGGGATGTTACGACGCTTTTCTCACGACCTTCGCGACCCCACCGCGTTCTCACCGCGTTCCAGGTCAGATCGCCGAACCTTGGCGTTTGTTTTGAACATGCTCAAAACAAACGCCGTGACTCGGCGATCATTGGCGACCATGGCGACCACACCACGATGTCTGGCGTTTCCATGCACCACGCTTATACCACGCTTATGGCGACCTTGGCGCGCTCTGGGCCCATTTTCCGTCGCCGTAGCAGCGCAGTAAGGACGCCACCCCGGTGTGACGGGGGTATTATATATATATATATATATACTAATATTTCCGGTGATTGATTGTCTGTTCGTCTGTCAGGTTATAGGCGACCAAACGGTCGGTCCCTGGGGGCTGAAAATTAATCCACATGGATAATTCAACCCGCGGAGTGTCGTGAGATAGATACTATTAACCTCAGAAGTCACTGGAGGTCACAGGAAGTAATTGGGGAAACAGTCATTTATGGTGTCACGAAGCCACATACAGAGTTCGTAATAAAGTACGAGTGTTCCGTGACCCTCAAATGGGTGGCCGGATGAGGTCAAATCCGACCTCCGAGGTCGTGTGAAGCCCGATTCCATTTTTGGCCAAACGAAGCGAGACGCGGACTTTATTTTGAAGTAAAAAAATGTTCCTTAACCCTACAGATGGTTGAGCGGATGAGGTCAAATCTGACCTCCGAGATCATGCAAGTCATTTCGCTAGAGGTCACCTTTCATTATTACACAACGGAAATTTTGAGAACCTTCGTAAACATTTCTTAATGCACAATGAAACTTTCTCGGAATTTCTTGGATGTCTCATGTCTACGGGCAACGACTACCAATAAGGCCCTCATTCCCTTTATATCGTTGGTCTTAATCTAACAACGTCATGCTTCTTCCATGAACATCTCTACGTTGGGTGCTCAAGGGTAGGGTCACAACAAAATCTGTTCATTCTTGCCCCAAAAGGAAAGGCCACTAATATTGTATATCTATACGCTTTGACAACATAGAATCTTTAAAACTGTTTTTGCCGGAATATTGTTTACCACTTTATATTTGGTTTCTTTGTTGCGTCTCTATCCTTAGAATTAAATAAATATACATGTCAGAATTTTCTCTACAAGTTGTTCCTAATTTTTTTTCCCGAGCAATGGCAGGTACCAAAGCTAGTATATATATATAGATACTCTACGACAAGAAATAGTAGTAACAATTACTATCAACAGATTTTATTATCACATCTCACACTACAATTTTCACATATCACACTATTCAAACAGTCCTTAATTACAAAGCACGTGTAAAATACTTAACTTATAGCAACCGCAAGTTCGAATTCCGCTAGAAACGGAATGTCATCACATCAAATATTTAGTAATAAATGTAGTACTGTAAAATACGTAAGCGCTATTAAAAAGAAAAATACCACCATTAATATGATGTAATGAAATAGAAAGAACGTATGCAAGTTTATAGAGTTTACTATCATTGTCAATTCTACATGACGTTTCAATAAAAGAGTGAGATATAGCATAAACACGTATAGGCAGTAAAATGACATTTAAACGTATATCAATGCGATATTGAACATGGATGGGATATCGAGTGCATACAAACGCACACATTTAGCAGAAAATATAAATTTATCATAAGTATGTACCAATGGGAAACTTGCTTTAACAGCAATCACTAACTTATTGAGCTGTATATTTAGTTTTTATTAGCTTTAATACTTAGTTTTAAAGTAGGGGTGCAGGTAAATTTTAAAACTTTATTTGGCACCTGTTCTAATTGAACAATTTAAAGTTTTGAGTTGATTCTAACCAGTATATTTACTATAAAAAGAAATATGAAAGAAAATAATGAAGAAAATAAATGAATATGAAAGTAAAGAAATATTATTCAGAAATATATTAAAGAAATTTATTGATTCAGAAGTTTAAGGCATCTTACTATACACTATACAGGGATTTTGTTATTACTAAAACAGATCAAAAGTGATTTTCCCACACTTCAAACTGATATTAGTTCATGAATTCAAATTCAAATAAAATATTTGTTATGGCAATTGCTGAGTGATTGAAAAATGCATCTAGGTAATTTAAATCAACAAATAATATATAAATAAATATAGATATATATATATTTATTTATTTATGTATTTATTTAATTATTGCATGTAATAAGAGCCCAGTTGTGAAAATATTGCATTCTTTCCATGCATTCATCCATATAGTAATTATTGTACATTTCATAATAATATCAGATCTAATAATAAGTTCATTTACAATAAAACACAGAATGACAGAAATTCACAATATTATGAATGATAGGCTATTAGGCTATGAGCCAGACCCGATAATTTTGGCCATCGGTACCATCCGAGGGAAATAATTCTCATTGTGATTTTTGGCAAGGTATACAACCCTAGAGTTAGAAAATATGTGATAGCATTGCATAGGTGGTAGATTTTTGTGTGTTATCACCCTGTTTATATATGCCAGGGATACTGTCAGGGTTACGGACAATTCTCAAACGGTACCTCTGTAAAGGGCATTGCAACATAACTGCTCACCAAATTCAATCAAACACATATCTAGTAGTAAGATAGTAAATATCTGATGAATGAGTCAAATGTGAAAAACACAATCTTCTGTTGTAGGACTTAAAATTACAGAATAGAAAAACAAATGTGATGTTCCACACTTGCATTGCAGTGATGGTAGCCATTTGTGTGCTATTAGCTGTTTAGTAACCCCATCCCAAAATAATCGGGCTGATACCACAACGGCGCCACGGCTTAGCCCGTCACCCATATCACTGAAACTATCATCTCATCCCCTGATCTCATCATAGTGTTTGCAATTCATACAAGCACTGATAGTCCAGTGCTGATACATAGCAGACCAAATGAGTTTAATTGTTTTGTGCCAAAAATCACAATGAGAATTATTCCCCCCGGATGGTACCGACCAAACCTACTGGCTCATGGACTATATACCGCAAACGTACATTCAACATACATATGTTTAACACTATGCCAGGAGCGAATAAAAACAAATTTGTTTTTATTCACTCCTGATTATATATATATATATATATGAAGCATTTAGTGCCAATTTCACTAAGTGATAAAATAGGAGGATTCACTTTACAGCTGTTTATTATGGCAGATAGCCTCGTATAAAAATGCTCTTTGGCATCCCTGCGTGCGTGTGTGAGTGCTTACGTGCCTTCGTGCGTGTGTGTGCATGCATGCTTGCATGCGTGTCCAGTCAGTACATATAAACAGATATGACGATAACCTAGAAGAGATCTAAAGTCGCACTTCCCCTGTCTTCATTTTCCTCAATGTATTTGAGTATGTCTTCAGTTAGAATATCACCTGACTGCTCCACAGAAGCTGCCTCTGATGATGTAGATTGTGACAAAGATCTGTTGGTTCGTGGCTTAGGCACCGGGGCACACTCTTTTGTCGCCGTGTTCTGGGAATCGCCTGAAAATTCATGAAAAACTTGTGGCACTTTTTCAAATCTTCATAACCCAAACTCTATCCATGGAAATTATATATATATATATATAAGGTGAAGCTAGTTTGGCTCCATTGAACAATGCAGTTATAATATCAAGAAATAAGAAATAACACAATAACTGATATACTGATAACGTGAAACTGGTTTGATGATTCTATATGATTGCTAGTAGGGCAACACATTGATACATCAATAATCGTCACAAACACACCCATGTCCCACATTCTAACCTGGTTCTTCATTCCCAAAGTTCCTGCCTTCAACCAGAAAGAAATCATTTAATTTAAATTATATAATACGTAATTTAAAACTCAAGTACGTAAAAATAATACAATGATAATAGGAATAAACGTGTATGGTCGCATAGGTGTAGACGCATGTACCTGACTGAAGCTTTGCGGTTGAGATCGCTCTAGGAGCAGGTTTTGGCACTACAACTGGCTTCAGACTTGGTGTGGGTTTTGGCCGAGCAATGGGCTTCTGAGGCAAGGCCGGTTTCGGCATTGTAGCAGGTTTTGCTCCAGCAGGCTTGGCAGGCAGAGCTGGTTTCCTTGGAGCTGCAGGCTTGGACTTGGCTGCAGGGGGCTTGTCAGGTTCCAAGCGGTCATCCAGTGGATGATACTGTGTGTCTTCCAAATGCAATAGCACGTCAAGGTCATCGTCAATGCTGAAACATTACATCGATTCTTACTAAATTAGAATCATTCAGTTAATCAACGACTTCTAATTACACTGCGAACTTTGACACCCGTATGCGAACAGATTCAAGAATATATACAAGATGTGCATTCACTACTGTTTATTACGGTTAATCTAGAGAAACGCCAAAAGTGATGTTTATAGACAGGTGTCCATTCAACAGAGGTGACTGCTAACAGAGGTATGGCTCTATATACATTTCCCACTTCATAATTATAGATAACAAGAAGTAAAATCGATTAAAACGTTATTATTCAACTATCCACATCTCAAAGTATGACCACGCTAAATATGCACCTATAGTTGTATAATTTAACCACTCATAAAAGCATTATCGTTTACACAATATAGTGCGCTTACGTGAAAAGATCTTCACTGCCTTCATCTTTAGCAAAAAGATCAACATCTAGTTTGTCTACACTTGCTTCGGGTGGGATGAAGATATCATCATTTAGATCATCCATGTCACTCTGTTCACCAACTATTGCTTTCACTGGAACATCAGAGCATGCACCACTGAACATGGGTTAGGAAATTAATTTATGTCTAGAATAATCTGTACATAGATTCACCTGAAACAAATACATAGATATCTCATATATATAAAACATTCTATGTATACGTTCAAAATAAATAAATTTATTTCAAATGTATACATAGAATGTTCTATGCATTGGTGCATGCTGAATCTATGCCTAGAATCTCTCTTGCTCTATATATATATATATATATAATACAATAGAAGTCCAAAAATCCGGACCACCGGAGAACCCTGACTTTTCGAATATTCGATTTTTTTGATACTTGATAGAATCTTCGATGTATTTGCTCAAAATGAATCTATGTATGAAAGATTCTATAAATAGGTATGACATAAACTAGACTTAGGTCCTGCATGAACTATAGTATAAATTCTGCACACAGGTTCATTGTAATATTAAATACTGATAAAACAAATAGGATGTAAAAAAATACACACTTAAGGTATGACATGTGACAAGTAATATTAATAATTGTCATTAATGTCGAGTGTTTTGTCTTCATGCTGTAATGAATACCTTGTTGTGACTGTGAACGTGTGTGGCTTTTGTGTGCTATGCTTGCAGCACCCTGTGCTGTTGGTTTCTGTTTTCTCCCGACCACCATTCCACCTAGAGGGTCATATTCCATCTCATCCTCTCCCTCTTCCATTGTAGCAGCATCAGTTTGCCAGTCCGTATCGGAAACCAGCTGACTAATCCTTGAGCCTGACCCAGTCTTAAAAATGTCCACGTTGTCTTGTAGAACATCACTTGTATCAGGTTTGTCAAAGAACAAGTCATCATCATTATCTACGTCTCCAAAGAGAAGGGATGTATCAATTTTCTGATGCTGTGATCCCTGCCTGCAAGTATAGTTGATGAAATCAATGTTTAAAACAAGGCCATCATGCAGGGAAATGCCAAATGCATGCAAATATTATATAGAGACGTAAATGATATGATTACATGAACCAAATGTACATGTAGCCTTGGAATAAATATAATTAGGTTTTTATAAATAAACAGAATTTCTTTTAATTATTTGTATCCAGTTAAAAAAATGAAATGTACGTATGATGACATGATTGTATTGGTTTTCTTGATTAGATATCTTTTTAGCCTTTACAACTTTGGAATTGCTACAACTTGCAATACACCTGGTAAATAATTATACCAGCTATACCTCTCCTACAATTTACATAACAACTAGAACACATGTTATGAAACTGTTGGAAACGTTGCATGCTGACTTTTTGCAAGTTTTGTACAGTCTGATATCATTGATTACTTGATTTGTTGTGTAGGCGTGGATGTGCCTGCATAATCCCGATTTGTTCTCGCAGAAGTTTCAATGATGTTCTCAGCTTCCTCTATCTTTGCATTCTCAGCTGATGTACTGTTTGATTGCACAACTATTCTTGCACTCACCCCTAGATAAACAATGGAGCATCATAGTGTCATTTAAAGGGATACTTTACTCTAGAATTTAAGAGTATATTATGATAGTACTAGTAAATTTATAAATAATAACACATACCTATAAATATCTATAATTACACATTCACGTTTGTCATAAAACAACATTGAATTTTCGAAATCTTCATTTTTGGGCGCTGACATGACACCCGCGACCATGCTGCCACCCGGAAAAAGTTGCGCATTTGCCAATTTATTTTGCACGTTACAAAGGGCTAATCACAAAAGTGCAATTATATTTATACCTAAATGCTATTTAACCGAACGACAGGGGTAGAAATTAACTTGTGAACAAGGGAGTCCAACGGACTCCCTGCCCCTCGAAAAGGGGGAGTCCGCAGCAAAATGAGGGAGTCCGCAGTCTGAAGTTCAAAACTAAAGAAAACAATAACGCATATATATGAAGATTCATGAGGTTGCCCATCTGCCAAATTTTCTTTGGGCATTTACTGAAACATTCCGCGAGGCCGTGCTCTGGAACAAACTAGTTAGTATAGCAGAATTTTCAGGGAGTCACACGGACTCTTGCATATGTCAAATCAGGGAGTCCGACAGTAAATCAGGGAGTATTGGACTCCGGACTCGCGTTAATTTCGCACCCTGGAACGATATTAATTTTAGGACAAATTTATCCATATTATAACTGAAATTATATGTCGTTTATAAGATTTTACAATCCTTCCGCTCTTAAATTAATAAATAAGAACCACCCTCGGTCTGTAGCCTGCAGCCAAAACATTGCTTTGCGGAACTTTTCCACTGAGTGCCTGGTAGTG